GTGGGTCCTGATGGTATGACGACCTCCAACAGGCAGCCGCCCCACGCGGTCCCGGGCAGTGCCCCTGCTGGGACGCTCCCCAGCCTCTGAGCTCCTGCCCCCTGGTCTCCAGTTAACCAGGGAAACGCACTCCTGACCGCACTTCCTTATTAAACAGGACTTCCTCCGAGTGGAGCTCTTCATCTAAACCAGATTATCCCAGGTCTTCATCAAATTTCTGTTAAATGTACTTCGGTTCTCCGGTGTTGGTTTAGTTTTTCCCTCAGTCACGACGCCTGCAAAGACCATTGTCTCATAATAATAGTTGTATACCCCTGGCTCAGCCAACATCGAAGGATAAAGAGTTGGTACCATTTAGTTTAGTCTTTTTCAGTTCAGAGGAGCCAATCTCATTCCAGTGATGTGAGATGACCATTGTCCCATCTCTCAACAGTAAGCATGTCCCTAAGGTAAGTCTCCTTGGACCTGGAGGTGGGAGAGTGTGGAGGTTTAGACCCTGGCCCAGGGGTCAGTAGACTTGGGTTCATGTGTCACTTCTGTGACTTACCAGTTGTGTAGCCTTGGGCAGGACACCTTGGCTCTGAAGCTATTTCCTTGTTGTAGGACTACAGGAAACCCCGAGAAAGAAAAAGCATGACCAAGTGATCACACAATGCCTTTCTGGCTTAATTATAAATAGAATTCTTAAAAATCCTAACTCAGCCCTCCATGTGCATAAAAGGGGAAACACAAGGGAAATAAACTGGGTACGATTTTCCCCGAGCGTGTTCGCCGTCAGAGCCTGGCTTTTTGAATCACTTCTGCTCAGGTTTGTGCATTCAGGTCTTTCCCCTCTTGTGACGTCTCTTTCCCACGGAGGGCATTAGTGACGCAGTGTTTCTTAGAAGAAGCCGTGCTAAGACTGACAGCCGTGCAGCTGGCCTTGCAGTCACCCGGAGCTGGCTTGCTCTGCTTCAGGATGCTGCTAGATGGGCCCGGCCCGCCCCACCTCTGCCCACAGACTACAACGGTTGCTGTTGTCTCTAGAAATCTCTTCCCAGCTGCCCACACCCATTCTGTAAATTTGATGCTGGCACTTTAAGGTTCCTGCTTATTAAGCAATAAAAACTATAACAAGACAGCAATTAATGATAAGAGCGTAGAGATCACAGAGGTGTTAAAACGTAGTTTAAAAAATATGTCTTAGCATTAATAAAATACAAAATGCAAATCTGGGACAGCAAATTTCAAAATGTCTAAAGAAAAAGTTACGTGTGACCCTGCAGGTAGCAGAGACTAAGGTGGAGGTCTTTCAGGTGGACTGGAGGTTCTCAAAAATCCAAAGGGGCTTCAAACGCTGTTTACTTCAACCGTAGGCCACTTCTAGAGACTTACCTCAGAGGACAGCCCGCTCTGTCTCTGGACGGCTCTGGAAATCGGAAAGTTCCTTATACATATTAAGCAAAATGATTTCATTATAACTTCTGCTCCCTGCACCTCCTAGATTTACACAAACAAATCTAATTCCTGGTCCTCTCGTCAGCCCTTTGGATAAATGTAAAGACACCACTTAGGTCACACTTAGGTTTCCTTAAAGACAGACTTCACTTTTAACTGTTTTTTTAGAGTTTTCACCTGTTCTCATTTCGAGTTCCTCCTCCATGCAGGCTTCTCATCTCCAGTAGCTCTGTGTTTGGCTGAAATGTGGGACCCACACTCACTGTTACTCCTCAGAGGCAGAAAGGCAGGGTTTTATTTTAATTTTTCACAATTAAGCAATTGTACTTGTGCCCTAATCCAAATTACTAAAACAAACAAACAAACAAACAAAGTTGAAAAAACAAATTAAGGAAATTTGGGTGATGATTCTGTCTCACTGGAGAACTCTCTTGATTGCCACTGGCCAATTTTTCACCTTTTGAGTGCAACTGCTTAACCAGTTACCAACCTAACTCAATTGCTCTAGAGTATCCAGCCCATATGCCCTACCTTGTCCACAGGAGATCCGTCCTGCGGAAGTAGGGTTCAGTGTGTATTCCCCTGATCTGCTTGTCTAGTCCTTGCGTGGAAAGAGAAGGGGCCACCGGGACAGGACTACTCTTAGTAAGCTCGTGCTGCCCCCTGGTGGACGCTTCTGCTTATATTAGACACAATTGACATATAACATTAGTTTCAGGTGAAACAATTCAATATTTATATATATTGCAAAATGATCACATTAAGTCTAGTTAACATCCATCACCACACAGTTACAAAATTCTTTTCTTGTGATGAGAACTTTTAAGATCCACTCTCCATAAACTTTCAAGTATACAAGACAGGATTAACTATAGTCAACACATGGTTAAGATATAGTTACTAAAACTGCTGCTTTTTATAAGTGCCCACAAGTCACTCCTGCAGTAACCTGCTCTGGAATATCGTTTCCGGCTGGAGGTAACCTTACTGGTTTGATAGCCTGAAGGTATAGAAGCAGCTGGGCTCATCCACTTAGAACCCTGTGTCCCCACGAAGGGACTTGGAGACCCTCTGTGAAAGGGGCTGTGGAAACATGAGGCCTGTGAGGGGCCTGTAGGAGCCACTTCCTTCCCAGGGGCTGCAACTCTGCGTGGCCACTGTTAGGGCTGGACTGTGGCCGGCACGGCTGAACTCATGTCCTGGGACAGCTTGTGAAGTCTCTTTGGCTAGATATGTTAGGCACATTTAGTGAAACCATCTTGTGTCGTGGGCCTCACGGCTGTGTCTCACCTCACTTGACCCCCCCATGCTTCCAGGCTTTTCCCCAGTCTCCTTCGCCTGTGGGAAAGACCAGCTCAAATGCACCTTCTGGGAGAATTTTCCCGGTTTCCTCCAGTCAAAATGGAATTATTTTTTTGTCTGAGCCCCAGCATTTTGTTTGTACTGTCAGTTTAACACATGGCTTACGTAGATACCCCTGTCTACATGGTGGAAACTTGCCCTTCATCTTATTTGTATCCCAGCGCTGAGCAAGGACTAATGAACTGAGGTAAAAATCATGGGG